TCCCTCCCTTTCCCCCCCGCCCCCCCCCCCTCTCTCTCCCCCCTTTTTCTCTCTCTCTTTCTTTCCTCTTCCCTCCTCTCAGTTCTCCCACTCCACATCTTTATATCTGATATACAGTATTTCTTTTTTTATTCTCAGGGTTTCTGGCAGGAATCTCCATGATGTTTTATAAAAGCACCACAATCTCCATGTACCTGGCATCCAAACTGGTAGAGGTGGGTCTGCTAGTCACATTAGCTGGGAGTATAAATATTCCTCACATATTCCACAGACACTGTTACATACACTGCCTGGCCAAAAAAAAAGTCACCTGGATTTAGCCAAGCAAATAGGTCAGAGCCTTCTATTGGGTACCAGGTCTAGGTTAAGCAACATTATGTCCCCAAAAAAGGGGTCAGCTGCCACCTGAATATACTGAATGATCAGGTTTTTCCATCAATTGACTTTTTCTTCCCTGATGGCACATTGGGCATATTCCAAGATGACAATGCCAGGATTCATCGGGCTCAAATTGTGAAAGAGTGGTTCAGGGATGTGCTGGAGAAGACTTTACACAGTGGTCTGACTCTCCCATCATCACTACAAGATCTTGGGGAAAAATGAATACAACTCTGGATGGAAATAAATGTTGTGACATTGTATAAGCTTATCGAAAAAATGCCACAGTGAATGCGTGCCGTAATCAAAGCTAAAGGTCGGCCCAATGAAGTATTAGTGTGTGTGACTTTTTTTGTTTGGCCAGGCAGTATATGAATGCAGTATAATGAGTTGAGGGATATCAGGACTGCTAAATAGTGATCTAGAAAAAAAGAATCTTCCTGTTTCATATTGCTGCATCTGACACAAAGGATAATAAGGGGGAAGATGCATAAAATGGGAACTGGGGTGAAGACTAGATAAGTGAAATGGTGTAAGGGAAAACAACATGCTATAAGGGAGTCTGCTTGTAATGTCTTGTATTCTTTTTATGACGGTATTCAGATATTTTGGGAGTTTAATACTAGGGATGCACCGATACCAATACGGGCATCTGTGACGATGCCGAGTATTTGGGGCGAGTACTTGTACTCACCCAAATGCTCCAATGCCTAGCCTGATGCTTCCGGTATCAGGAAGCTGGGCAGCGCATCATTACAGGCTGCCTGGCTTCCTGATTGGCTGGGAAGCCGACTCCATGCTTCCTCGTCACTTGTGATTTCTCATTGGCCGGGAAGCCGGCTTCATGCTCCCTTGTTACCTCATGATGAGAAAGCATGGGGACGGCTTCCCTGCTAATCGGGAAGCCGGGTGGCGAGTCATTACACGCTGCCTGGCTTCCTGAATGGGACTTCCGGTACTTCAAGTACTGAAAAAAAAATATCGGTACTTGTACTCGATACCGAAAAACCGGTATCGGTGCATCCCTATTTAATACTATACCCCTCCTGTACCAGCAAAGTCCCTCTTTCCATATTTGGCCCTCAAACATGAAGCCTCCCATAACATACAGAATACTCTACTTGTGAACTTCTCTGTGCCTATGGGTCTAAATTCTCTAAATTTTATATGGAGTATGTAAGCATTAAAATCCCAGTTTATGTGTTACTGTCTGTGTCCCATTGGGGTGATTTTACATTCGCTTACTGTCCTGGAGACACAATAGGAAGTAAGGGAAATCCCCTTTTAGATTGTTGTCACTAGAACCAGTGTCCGCAGCAGGGAAGATTTTCTCTGTATTCCTGTTCTGGTGACAAGGTTTGCATTGCCTAAGGTTTCGTTCACACCTAGGCGTATTGCATATGCGTGTCTGTCGTGCGTTTATTTACAGCGATTTGCGGTAAAAAAGTCGCGCGACAAACGCGCGTTTCCGAAGGCTACTTGGCTGTATCCCAATGGAAACGCGCAACAAAACGGCCCAAAGTAGTACATGTACCCTTTGTAGCGCGTTAGGGACGGGCGGAAATACGCCAAGGTGGGAACGAGACCATTGAATACAATGGGATTTATATTTTTGAGCGTTTTGTAGAGCGTTCGTCGAGCGTAGAACGCGCTACAAAACGTTCAGGTGTGAACGAGGGCTAACACTTGCTGTCTTGTGGCATTGGTCATCAGGCCAGATAGAGAGGATGAATCTCCCTAATAGGGAAACAGACACCAGTATAAACCTAGTGTGCCGGAAGGAAAACGCCGGGCCAGTTGAATGGGGTTCAGATAATTTTTCTATTCAGAAGTGTGTTCAGTAAAAAAAAATCCAGTGTATTTGGGGGTTCTGAAGGAGCTGGCAGCTGCTGTCAGAATACCTGAACAGAGCTGGCAACTCATTGGCTGCCGTCTCTGTTCCTTTGAAGATTTTCCAACCGCCTCCTTCGATCAGCTGATCAAGGGATGCTGGCCGAAAAAGGTGCCGACAGCGGCACCCACTGTGCAAATTTTGCACAGTGTATGGGCCACCTTACGGGAGGCAAAATAATCCTGAAGGGTGAACACGGTATCCATCAGGAAGAACAGAATTATAGTCTCCTCTAGAACTTTTTCTTCAGCGCATGATGAGGCCCTGATGAAGGAGGTCTTTCAGAACCCCCGGAACTCAATGGCTTTTATACTGAACTCTATTCTACATTGAAATATTCGCTGACCCTTTTCCAAAACACTTTAAATGCTTGCATGACTTGGTTGCTCTCCATCTCTGCAGCTTTAAGAAATGCATTGTGTTCCATTTTTCTTGTAGATAATGTACTTCAAAGGAATTGAAGCTGGGAGGGTTCCGTACTTCCCCCACGCAGATAGTGTCATCTATGCAGTGTCTACAGCTATCTGCTTCCATGCAGTAAGTACTGTTTTTTTTCATTGTATGTGGTTTGTTGTGTTTTAAAGATGAAGTCCGGCCTTCCTTTCAGTCTTATACAGTTGTACCGGATCCTTTCCTGGACTGAAATGGCTTCTTCTGCTATCAATGCCCACTGTGAGCTCCTCAAAATGTGCATTAGAAGCTGCAGCAAGTCAGATAGAGCCCACACCATTTCATGGCCGGGGGATGTCAAGCAACATTTCGTTCTTTCCCTCCAGACTTACTGCGCCACCCCTTTCATTCATTGGAGTTCAGTTTTTTCAATCATAGAGGCTCAGCATCATCATGTGGGTTTTGCTAGAGGAATAGAGAGAGGGGAGGGGGGAATCCCTGCAGGGAGCAAAAGTTTGGGAACTCAGTGATCTTCGGTATGTGATCGTTCAGTTACTAATCAATAGTGCCGATGTCACACGCGGAATTGGAACTTTCTTCCACAAGCCGTGACATCAGCAGAAAGTATGGAATCATTCCAAAATCGTTTAGACACGTTCCTCATAGACCATAACATACAGGGGAAGAGGTACTCTTAATCACTGGAACACACAGACATGCACAGACACACACGCTCATAAAGGTTGAACTTGATGGACCTGTGTCTTTATTCAACCTCAAATATACTCTGTTACGCTATATTATTGTTCCCTCGCCATGGGGCATCATGCTAGGGGACGTTAATCTACAGATAGCGGACAGGAAGGCGATAAATCCTAATCTGAAGATCTCAGTTATATTCCCCACCTATAGTCCTACCTTGCCTTACTTCCTGTGTGTGCTCAGCCCCTTACAAAATAATGGTGATAAGCAACTATGCCCAAAAAAGTATGTATGATGGGTTCCCATTGGAAGAACGGCTGCTGATTTTCTCCTTGCCTTGGTCACTTTTCCTCCTCTAGACTTCTGAACAGCATATTAGTTAGGGATGCACCGATACCAGTATCGGTTTCGGTGCCGATACAGAGCATTTTGGCGAGTACTGGTACTCGCCCAAATGCTCAATACCTTCCCTGATACTGGAACTTCCGGTCAGAGGTAGATTGCGGCGTAGGGGAACATGGAGCCTGCTTCCCGGGCAATCAGGAAACCGGGTGGCAAGTAATGACCCACCTTGCTGATTGGCTGAGAAGTCAGCATCGAGCCGGCCGAACAGCCGGCCCCTTGCTGATTGGCGGGGAAGCTGGCTTTGCGACCAATGAGCATCAAGCCAGCCGAACAACCAGCTTGATGTTGATTGGCTGGGAAGCCAGCCAATCTGCGTAGAGCCGGCTTTCCGGGCAATCAGGGAGGCGGATTATTACTCACCGCCTGGCATCCTGCTTGTCTGGGAAGTCGGCTCGGTGCTCATTGGCTGAATAGCCAGTTTCCTGGCCAATCACAATTGAGCCGACCAAACAACATGGAGATGGGCAATCAGGAAGCCGGGCAGCGGAAGTATCGGTACTCGGTATGGGTGAGTACCGAAAGCTAAATATCGGTACTCGATACCGAAAAAACGGTATCGGTGCATCCCTAATATTGGTAGGTAAAAGAGATAAGCAAACTCTACTTTTTGGAAACACCAAAAACAAGAAATAAAATGTCATTGGATTTGGACTTGCCTGGAGATTGTGTCTGTATGTTCACTGATATGGGAAGGTCCGGTGGTGCCATCTGGTGGTTGGATCATACATGACATGCGTGTTTGTTCTTTGTTTATTAGGCTGTTCTGGAAGTTCAGAATCTAAGACCTTCTTATTGGAAGTTTCTATTGAGACTAACAAAGGGCAAGTAAGTGTTTTATATAAGTCTGTAATGAATATAATAATATTTTTTTTATCCATGCTGCATTTTGGTGTGATTTTGGCCATATTTGTAGCATTCGGTTTAATGATTATTTTTTTATGAAAAAGTAAAATCTCAATTTTCATATTGATGAGGACTGCTGAAAAATCTGGTCAAAATGTATCACATTATCATTCAAAGCGATCACATCCACACCGGATCATTTACTATTACATGTATGGTCAGCACTGTACCTTTGCTTTGTAGTTACAGTGGAGCTTAAAGCCAAACTCCGGGGAAGATTATTAATAACCCTTGAAGTGCTTGTCTTGGTCTAGGTAGGGAAATAAAGTTATACTCACTTGATCTTTGTAGCCGGCCTGCTGTTACAGCGCCTCTCCTGCCTGTCTCCTCCTCCGCTGGAGCAATGTAATGTCCTTCGGTGTATTAATAACTTTCCCCGGGTTTCTTCTTCAGCTTTCCTGGAGGAAGTTGCGCTCCAGGCTATTTTAACTGCTGACTATGTGTCTATAGGTCTAGGTGATTGGCCATGTGTTCTCTAGCAAATAAGGGCATAAGAGTTCAGAATGGCTGAGCCTCCTTTTTAAAAGATCATGTGACCAAGCAACTAGGACAGACACGTAGCCGGCTCTAAAGTGAGCCAGGTGCAGCATTTTCTCCAGGAAAGTTAGGTCTTTCAGCACTTTTATGAGTCTTTATCCATGCCAGCAAAGCTGTAGACACAGAGTTACTTTTATATTTGAGTTTAGGAACACTCTAAATATATTCAGCTAGTTTTCCTCTGTACGAAAATATCCTACATGTGTGTTTTACCATTATTTATGATGTATTACAGGATTTTATATAGTGCCGGCTATTACGCAGGGCTTTAAATTGTGTACATTCACATCAGTCCCTGCCTTCAAGGATCTTACAATCTAAGGTCCCCATCTCACATGCATACAGGGCCAGTTTAGACAGGAGCCTTTTAACCTATCTAGGACATCTAGGGTACATCCTAAAAGTGCATTTAAAAGAGAACTATGGGGTAAGTGTTTTTCCCCATAGTTCTCTTAAGGGTCACGGGAGGACACATACTAGCATCCTCCCGTGACACAAAGCTCAGCATATTGCGAGCTACAGCTCGCGGTATACTGAGACCGTCGCAGGCGGGACGGATCCCAACAATGCTGTCGTGATCCACCCAGTTACGTGAGTGACAAGGGGCTCTGCCTATCTAAAGGCAGAGCCAGGTGTACCCGCCCCCTCCCCTGTCCGTTCCTCCAGTCAGCGCTGGAGGATTGGATCGGGGAGGGGTGGAATCCCTGCAGGGAGCCGTGAGTGATAAATTCACGGCTCTCTGCAGGGACATGATCAAGAAGTGAGCAACAGTATGTGTTCGCTCACATCCCGATCTATTGAGCCGACGTATGACAGTTTCATTGTCACACGTCGGCTCGAACTATGAGGCTGAGTGATTTTCCCACAAATGTCTCTTATTTGTGTATCACTCGGCTGTAGATCCTCCAATCATCTCTGAATTGGTGCTGACACTGTCCTTCCTTCTGGAGGGGGGCTACTTTTGTTCCCCATGGTCCCTGTGTGTGTTGTAAAGTAGTCACCGCTCCAAGCTCACTCCCGTAATGGACTACAATCTCAGGTTTAATTTACTAATTTGTATATAGTATATCACAGGAGCGGTGGCTACTTTACAACACACACAGGGTCCATGGGGAACAAAAGTAGCCCCCCCTCCAGAAGGAAGGACAGTGTCAGCACCAATTCAGAGATAATTTGAGAAACTATAGCCGAGTGATACACAAATAAGATACATTTTTGTTAATAGTTCAGGCACTTGAATGTATTTCTAACATTTAAAGGAGAACTATGGGGTTAAGGCTTAGGGTAACGGGAGGACACAAACTAGCATCCTCCCGTCACCCTAGGCTCAGTTCAGAGCTGCTGTTCGCGGTATACTGAGACGCCGCAGCTGAAGTGGATCCCGACAATTGTGCTGGGATCCGCCCAGCTGCGTGACTGACAGCTGGCTCTGCCTATCTAGAGGCAGAGCCAGTTGTACCCGCCCCCTCCCCCGTCCGTTCCGCCAGTCAGCGCTGGCGGATCGGAGAGGGGAGGGGGTAATCTAGCCCCTCCCCTGTCACAGCAGAGAGCCGTGACAGGATCGAGAGGTGAGCGAACGCCGGTATGTGTTCGCTCACCTCCCAATCTACTGAGCCGACCTGTGACAGTCTCATTGTCACAGGTCGGCTAGAACTATGAAGTGAGTGAAAAGCACTCGCCTCATAGTTCTCCTTTAACACCTGAGTTTAGTGTAACTTTAAACAAGAAATGTTAACCAAGCTATAAATGAGGTCCAGAGAGTACAAAAAGGGGTCTCAGCAAAACCAAGAAAACAAAATCCAACAGTGAGCCCAAGGCAATCTAACACAACATGATATACACATATGTATACCTAGGAGATGTGTGTACATTGAAGAGTTTGGCCTCATTCACACACAACGCAAGCAAAATTGTATATTGTACATTTTGTACATACGCGTCTATGCGCATATATAAGAGCGTGTATGCGCGTATATATACAAGCGTTTATGCACGTATATGCGTGCACTATATGCAATCCCCGAATGCATCACTCGTAATGGAATTTTAATGTGCTGTACACGCGTATACGTGCGTATATGCGCGTAAACACGCGTATGTGCGCGTAAATACGCAGAGATACGCTGCCCGGACGCATCTCTGTTCCATTCTGTTTTTGCGCATATATACGCTGCGCAAATATACAGCTCCATACGCGGCTGTGTGTATGTATGGAGCCATTTATTTGCATATGGTACAATACGTACGTACGCGCGTATATGCGCGGCAGTGTGAATGAGGCCTTTGGCTCTGCAGGCTATGTGATTGTTTATAGCATAGCTTTATGATAGTGGATATTTCAAAGTGAAAAATGTTTTCATACTGCTACATCTGATGTGGTCAGGCAATTGTGTAGAATCCTTTTATCTTTCACAGGATCCACCCATGTAGCTGAGCTTACTGCATACTGAACACTGAAAAAATACTGAATGTATTTTTAAGATTTAACTCCCGAGTCACTTTAACTATAAAATAAGGTTGACCAAAAACCATTCCATTTTGGGTGTTATGGTCTCCTAAAATGATGGAATATGTTATGTAATGGATGCATTTTCTTAACATGACCTAATACGCATATTCTAAATGTATTTTGTTAGATTCAACGTAATGAACCGAAGAGCCTTGGACGTTTTTGGTTCTGAAGCCTCCAAGAACTTTAAAAACTTCATCCCCAAACTGGACCCAAGATTCACTGTCGTTAAGCCAGAGTTACCGATACAGTTCTCCTGAAATCTTGGGGTTTTTTTTTCTTCTTTCCCATGATAAAATGTGAAAATCAAGAGCACCTAATGGGTATTGAGAGAGAATTAAGAATGTGAGGGCTTGCAAGCTCCTGTTCAGTATTAACTAATTTTAGCTGACCAGTACAAAGATGAGTCTATTCTCAGTGAAGATGAATTATTTGGTAGATTAAGAGGTAATCCTGATAAAGCCCCAAGAGAGAGGCACGAAAAAAAAATTATCTGTCATCCCTCCATCATCAGGCCAACAAATTATTCCAAATAAGCAAATAATGACCTATAAATAATATAGATATTTCTATAGCTTTGATTGCATTTAAATACTTATACCAGTTAAAACATTTTAATGTTCCTCTGTGTACGATATTAAGCTAAGCTTCTACAGGTGTAGGGAACGTGTGCCTTTTGGTTACCTACCCCTGTCCTGGGGACCAGTTTTTGTCATGTCATTCTTGTCTCCTCGTATGTAGGCTGGTGCTGGATCTGAGATATTGTTGGGTTTCTTCTCACAGGAAAACTGTATAGGGACTAGGTATGGTAAGGGGGCTTTCAAGAGTGTGAAAGGGTATACAGTGGGCAAAGCTTGTATACATGAAGAATCGCTTGCTTTTTTTTATCAGACAATAAGGAAAAAACATCCAATGCGCCTCTGGGATTTGGAGCACCCCCTTCTTCAGGGCTCTGGGAAATAAGTATGGTGTGGACCTTTGGAGCTGATCTCTAAATAGGCACCTTGGTTTCCCTGAGCCTGGGATAGAATGGTGTTCTTCTGTGATTCCTGGCTCTGTGACCAACACCACACTCCTAAAATGTGTTGGATGTTTTTTCCCAACATCAAAAATGGATTCTTCATGTACACAAGCCTCATGACTATGCTATAGTGTTCCTCATCCATTGGAGTCTAGATTTTAATGTCATTCCACCTAATAATGATACATTCATTGGCTTGTTGACTCTAGAGGTGAGATCTGCGCACTTGTGTTCCCATCTCCTTCCTCTTTCTTTGGAATGGGATGTATTTACACTCATTCATTCACACTTTATAATATAGAAAGTGCAGCCAGGTAGTGAGACTTCTCCTGCTTTATAAGAGGCATTGAGGCTCCAACGTGCTGAGGGAACAATGAAGGATTGACAGCAAGTAGATCGCCTCAAATCCCCATTAGATAAAAGAGCAGATGGATAGTAGAAGCCACCCACATCTACCAGTAGGTTCCAAATACCATTCGCACCCCTATGGTCTTACAGCATAAAAGTATCTGTGGTGCTCAGGGTGACCGCACGGATGGTGCCGTGCAAACACTAACAGTAAATGCAAAAGTATCACCGGCACACACTTGGAAATTCAAATATCAATAATCCATTGATATATTTTATTTTGTGAAGAATGTCACATCATGTCATGCAGTGCTAACATTTCGGGTCCATGCAGGGATCCTTCATCAGAGCGACAGAGTGACAAGGTGCAGTGGTGAACATATGGCTATATATATACACATCAGTCCAGGTGCAAAATCGAACAACCCATGGCCAAACAAACAATACAGCTACAAGCAATATATAGTGTGATCACAATCAGTTGCACCCCGCCCCATAATGTCATGGAGTGGGGTCTTGGTGAGACTGCTTGTGTTCACACTATAAATTGATTGTAGCTGTAATGATTGTCACAATGAAGGGACCCTGCGCGGCCTTGAAACGTTGGCTTCTTGACGCATCAATAAAAATGCTACCGTTTTTGCAGATTACAAGTGAGTGCTGGTGACTTCTATCTTTACTTGGACTGTCACACGGTGCCATCCGCGTCGTCACTTCGAGCACCAACGGATATTTCGTTTGGTTCAAGCGCTGTATGGTGTGCAGGTGATTTTCTAACGCTAATATCGCTCTAGAACTCCAGTGGTGGTCAATCCTCTTGATGGATTTTCGCTAATGTAAAACAAGTAGAAAATTCAGCAGGTACAAATAATGGCTGCAGTAGGTGTAGCCAGGACCTGAAATGTACAGAGCTCTCTGTCAGAGTCACCAAGCCATGTACCAGAAGGGTGGGTGATGTGTCACTTTGGGGTGGAGGGATTCTTAAAATCATATACAATTTGTGAAACAATCATGATCTATGTTTTTTCTCCTCACATAGTAACATGTTTTTATAGGCCATTCCTACTAATGTAAAAGTCTTATACAATCTGTTTTGTAGTAATCTGCAATCATTTCCAGCCCATTTTACCCAGTTAAACCTCTGGCCGTGGGTGAGACCTAGAATCGTAAGCACAGAAAAGAGTCACGTTGTCTATTTTTAAGTCATAAATGGTTCAGAGCAATCATAATTATAATGGGGTCCTGGCAGCTTCATAAAGCAGGATGCGGGACCTTATTTGCTAGAATTGTGCAAAAAAACTAAAGAACATAACAGACATCTAACCATTCCATGGTTCTGTGTTGTCAACAGCCCTGCACAAGGTACAAGGTTACTCCCTTGTATGAGTTTTGCTGTGTTGCAGTGAAAGGCGTTTACCGGCATGGCTAACATATAATTATAGGTAGGTGGCTATCAAACATGTCAGCTCATAATTACTGTAAACAGACATTACCTTCAGTGAAAAAAAAAACATGTCAAAGCGATCAACAGATCCAGAGATGCATGCAGCTGAAGTTAAGCTACTTTTCTGTTAAAGACTTGGCCTTGTCCTATCATCACTCTTCCCGTTGGTCAATTAGGCTGCACAACACAGAGGCAAAGTGGAAGGTGGTAAGGGGTGGAGAACATTTTTAGATATTAACAGCTGAGCCACAATTAACAGCGGTTTGTCTATTCAGTGCCATCTTTGTTGTGGGCTTTGCTTTTACCCTACGTATACCTTACATAGTTTTTTTAATGTCCAAGGTTATAAAGGACCACGTTGATCTCATAAACCGAAAGACGATGCTTCCCTTAGATCTTTTGATGACCAGAAACAAGATTGGGTGAGCTAGAGTCTTCTTCTTCCAGTCCAGGCTCTATTGGTTGTAAGTCTTCTGCTAGGCTCTCTTTTGGGGGGTGGTATTTTGGGGGTGCTGGGCAAATGTCCTTTTACACCCGTATTAAATCAGTCTTCATTTTTGGTTACAAAATGCAGGGGTTTCGGAAAGCTCCATCATGTGCACTGGCAGTGTACGTGAGAATGTAGTCATGGCTGAATGGGATTCGTCAGAAGGGATTGTGATTCACTAAAAAACATTCATCTTTTAGCTGACACTTGAGTGGTGTCTTTAGGCAGCACACTTATCCTTCATTTAGGTTTTGTACCCCAGGCCTCTATATGTTGCCACTATGAATGTATAAGGTACTTGCTACTATTGAACTCAAATGACGATGAAGTCTGTATTGACCGCTGGTCTAAGAATGCGCAAATACGTTCTGTCCCCGTAAAGAAATATATAAATGGAAGTGTAGCACTATTAATGTTGAAGCAAACCTCTTTTCAAGACTAAACAAGCAGCACCAAAGCCCGTCATACACCAGTAGAATTTCGTTCTTTAGTTTTTGGAATGTTTTATCCTCCTTTTAATGGTTAGTGGGGTCTAATCGACGTTTATTTTCCACCGTAATGGCGAGGAAAATGGGAAAATTGAATGCTCGGGATGGAAAATTGTTCTAATTTCTTATCAGAACAAGCAAAATTTGGTGAATGCGATTTTCATTCGGGAACAATCATACATATTGTAATGCGCATGTTCTAGGCATAAAAGAAAGCCAAATGAGGATATCACCCCTCCCATCCCCGTACTTTATGGAAGCATCCAGGGTGCAGCTACTACACTCATCTCTACTCTAGCCTTGCTTGAAACAAAAAGAAGGAACCACACTCCATAGATCCACTGAATTCTGCACTTATTAGTGTCCTTTCCTCTAGGGTTGCAAGCTTTTCAAACGCTCTAGCGCCTCGTGGCAAGACAGGCAGGAGAGACAGGCAGGAGAGAGAAAGGGGAGAGACAGCCAGGAGAGAGAGGAGAGACAGCCAGGAGAGAGAGAGGAGAGACAGCCAGAAGAGAGAGAGGAAAGACAGCCAGGAGACAGAGAGAGGAGAGACAGCCAGGAGAGAGAGAGAGGAGAGACAGCCAGGAGAGAGAGAGAGGAGAGAGTAAGGAGAGACAGCCAGGAGAGAGAGTGAGGAGAGATAGTGAGCAACACATCTGCCTGAAGCAGAACCTCTCTGTCCTTCAAGACTTATCTGCACCCTGTGTTTCAGACACCTCCTTGCTCTCCGAGTTCCAGTGTCCCTCCGTGTCCCGTGCCTTCTCCATGCACTCAAGTTGGAACACCAGGACCCCATGGTTGCCCCTGTCCGCCTGACATTGCGACATCTTATGCTCGGATTTCAACTGGCTTGAAACCTGGACAAAGCACATACAGGACTCAAAACCAGGACTGTCTGGGTGAATCCCTGGCAGGTGGCAACCTTACTTACATCCCAGTCACACTAATCCCCGTCCTTCAGTGGCAAGCCTGTTTCTGTTTCAGATAAAGAAACTGGTTGAATGCGTCCGGGATTCTATTCAAGAAGCGGGTCTGGACGAAATTTTGAATAAAATTTTTTGAATGAAATGAATTGATGCAATGATGGCGATATCGAAGGCCCTGACGAACCGAACGATTTTCAACAACCATTGAAATTAAATTCTAACAGTGTATGACCAGTCTAAGCTTATATATAAGATCATGTGTTATCATGTTTTTTTAAATAATCCTCAGACGTTCCTTATGTGTGAAAACTATGAATAAGTGCACTTTTATTTAACGTACCTTATATTCTGATAAATCAACAAAGTTCATAAACATAACCGTTCACTTTTTCTTTGTTTCTATTAACTCCTGAGATCTGACAGTTTAGATTTTGTGTAGGATTCCTGTTTGCCTTTCATGCTATGTAAATGAAAGCTTACCCGGCATTAATGAAACTGTATGTAAACCCTAAATACACATTTCAGTATGTGTGGCTTCATGTCTCACTGTATTCAGTTTTCCTAGTGACACTAAACTCAGGAGTTCAATCTTAAAAATGCATTCATGTACCTTAACTATTAACAAAAATGTATCTTATTTGTGTATCACTCGGCTGTAGATCATCAAATCATCTCTGAATTGGTGCTGACACTGTCCTTCCTTCTGGAGGGTGGCTACTTGTGTTCCCCATGGTCCCTGTGTGTG